CCCCAAAACCCCAAAACCCCAAAACCCCATTAGAGATTAAGGGAATTGAAATATATGGAAATTATCAGTTATTTCGGATCATCTCTCTTCTTCTCTGTTCGTTCTCCTTGACTTTCTTGAGTAGCTCTATAAGTAGGTGAGTGATGAGAGTGGGACTAAGATCTTACCTTTCTTTTCCTTCTTCCTTCTCTCTTCTTCTCTCTTCTTCTGTACCTCTGGGAGCTTATCGTAGTTCTTCTTAGTGAATTTTAGCATCTCCTTTTTGTTTGTAGGCAATTTTTCACCTTTAGCAAGTTTTTCCAGAGTGGAATTTGATTTATTTGAGTTAGCAGCTTTACTCTTTGGCTTCATCATCTCACGTCTCTGTGCCAAAATCTGTTCCTTAGTTCTACCTCCAGCATACAACTTCTGAGATGATTTTTGCTGGTTCTGAGGGATATTCTCCTGATTAGAGTTGCCATAAGATTCTTCAAAAGTTGGCGCTGCCAACTTTTGGTTAGTCATTGGAAATCCTGACTGAGAGATTTGCTTCTTCCTAGACCTGAACTCATCAGCCAGAGATGGCTTGCCTAGTTCCTTATGAGGAATGTACATATTTAGAGGCTGCCTAGAAGCTTCTGGAGCAGCCTCAGATTCTATCTGAGGCTCCTTCTGTATCGCTTGTGAACCAAACACTGGCTCATAAGTGAACACTTGCATCTGTGAAGGATTAGAAGGCTTGTTGTTCCCAATAAATTCATCAAAGTGTTGAGAATTTGAGTCCTGAGGATCAATATCTGAATAACTGTATGTGAGCTCATTTGTGGTATAGAAATTAGCTGAAATTTTAGATTTTTGTAGCTCTTCCGTCATATCAGAGGTATAAGATTCGGAAAGAGCATCACTTCTTAGCTGAGAACCATTGTCACTTTGAGATAGCTCAGAAGAAGACAATATCTCTTCAGACATAGTAGGAGCTTCATTATTTAGAAATTCATCTGCAAATTGAGAGCTTGACTCAGATTGACTTCCTCCTGGTAAAAGGTGTGAATATTTCTGTCCGACAGGATTTGGAACTTCCTTCCTTGATAACACAACCTGCCTACCCTCCATAGTTGGAGATACAAGCGAGGGATTTATCTGAATTTCTTTCTTGGCTAAGTTCTGGCTAGGCTGTTGGCCATATTCCTCCTCTGAAGTTGAACTGAGTTCTTCACTGTTGTCGTAGCATTTACTAAACTCAGGGTTGCTTCTGACCGTGATATCACTCTGGCTAGTATCAGTATAATTAATGATCTCTACCTCTTCATTCTGCTTCAAGAAGTTATTAATTTGAGGACCATTTCCACAGTTAGAGTTCTGTAAGTTATTCTTAACTGGCTCAGAACTTTGATTAGGAAACATATTGAGAGAGTTATCCTTCTGTGCACTGATCTGAATCTCCTGCCTTTTACTTCTTTCTTCAGAGTAGCTACTCTCAGAATAAGAAGATGCACTACTCTGAGGTTGGCTGATCTGGCTACCAGCAGCAGGCATCTGCTGGCTGCTCATGCCTAATGTTGACATCATGTTCTCCATCTGCTGAGCTTTCTGTTGGCTTTCAAGAAGTTGTTGATATAGCATCATCATGTTTGGATCTTGGATCTGAACTTGAGGCTGATTATATTGAGGAAGAGGGATCTGATAATTCTGAGGAGCACTATGAGGAACTCCTCGATTCTGTAAAGGAACCTCTTCTGGATATCTAGGTAGAGGTTCCATCTCTATTTTAGGAGGTTGTTCTTCAGATCTTTGAATGGATATACTCGCCTGAGGAGATTCCTGTGAAAGCATATCTCACTCAGATTTTTCTCCCTCGATGTCTTCCTCAATAACAACATTAGGCATCAAGATTCTGCTTGAGGTTTTATTTTGAGAGTTCTTTAATTCATTAGACTCAATAAGTTCTTTGGTTTCCTCTTTCTTAGCTTTCTCTTTTGCAGATTTATTTTTCTGAGATTCATGCTGACTGATATTCAAAGCTTTCTCGATATCAGTTTCCATTTTTCTTTGCTTAGTATTTCTCTGCAGTTCCTCTCTCCCGATAGCTTGGTAAACTGGCTTTCGTTCAAAATTCACCTGCTTAGTGTTAAGTTTCTCCATAGCTTGTTTACCTCTCTGTTTGGCTTTGATGTCATTGATTCTCTTTTGTTCCAGCTTATCAATTCTAGACCTTTCAATATTTCCTTTGAACTCTTCAGCTGTTTCAAAGGCTGACCTCGAAGTCTTAGATTTATCAGACATAGGTGTATCAGTCTCATGCTTTACAATGAGGGTGTTGTGGAAACAAGTGTTTGAGTAATCAATACTCTCTGAAGACAATGTAACATTATCCATCTTGTTTCCATTCTTATCGTATGCATAAATACCGGTATTCTCGTCAATTTTCCTCTGGATTTCCTGTTGCATCCTTCTTTGTTCCTCTTTAGCACGGTAATCTTTAGCAAGGTTGTGAGAAAGCTCAGTTTCAAATTTCTTAACACCTTGCTTTCTCTCTATCATTCTCCGATCATTATCATAATTAGCAATCTTAGTGACATGTTGGACCTCTTTAGCAAGGGCTTGGCTACCTCTTTCCTTTGCTATCTTTTCATCTTGAATTCTTTTACGAGCCTCTTCTCTTCGCTTGTCCTCTAATTCTTGATTTCTGCGAATAAAATCCTCCTCCATTTTCCTTTTTGCTTCAGCTTGCTCGGCTCGGAGCTTCAGTTGCCGTTCGAATTCCTTCTTTTGCTCTAAATATTTCAGGTATTCTTCATATTTCTCCTTGTCTTCTTGTTCCTTCTTTAGCCGGTCTTGGTATTCCTTGGCTTTACCCTTGCGAGCAATATGATTCTCTTGTGCCCGAACTTGCTTTTTAAGCTGAATTAGGCGCTCTTTTTCCGCCTTTTTCTGGTACTCCTCAAGCTCGACTCTTCCAAAGATCTGTCGAGTGCCTCCAGCCTTCGCTGGAGGCACCTGCTTGGTTTCTTGGAAGGACCTCTGAGGTGGATCGAAGGTAGTGCCGACAAAAGTAGAGCTAGCACGGCAGAGTGTGTCACAGCTGTCGATGTTCTCGTCCCTGAACATTTAAATTTGAATAAGCAATATTTTATAAAAATTCTGGGGTTTTGGGGTTTTGGGGTTTTGGGGTTTTGGGGTTTTGGGG